CTTCGCGTCTTTAACGTGCTCTTAACAATTACCGCGTTCATTGATCGATCCATCAGGCTTGACAGTTTGGCATTAGAGGCAAGGGAATTGCGAGTGGGAATGTAACAGAATCTTCAAATATCGCAGTAAAAGAATGCAAAGTTAACTCGATGACTACGTTGACTCTGGATGACTCGTTTAGGAACGGAGCGTTATTATCCCCGCGATCTCTTCTTTCTTCTTCTTTTATCGCCGTCGTGCTATCCCTCGATTTCTGCGCGCTTTTCATCGCGGCACGAAGATAATGTTTCCGAGAGGACGTGCTATAGCCTGTATATCGATCAAATCGGTTGGAGTCGAAAGCTGAGGAGTTTTAAAATGGTTTCACGGTAGCTCGTCGATGTCAATGCTAGTCAGAGGCAGGCATAGACATAGTAAGAATAGACTGCGCGTTCTCTACCCTCACCCGTGTGAAAACATGTACAAACTTTAGAATGAGATAGCTGGCGTGGGGCCGTACCTCATCTTTGTCTGGTAGAAGTGGTGGGGGTGAGTAGGAAGAGTAGGGGAATGATAGAGGTTAAAGGATAAGCACAGTAGCCATATTGAATTTTTGCCCCACTCCAGACATTGATAGACGGAGAGAGAATAAGGTCCCAAGCAGGGTTGGGTGAGTTATCTTTTTCTTTCTTTAACTAAGTTAAGCTAGAGTTAACAGCCTTGAAAATTTAGCTTAGCTAAGATACAAGTTAATCCTTAATACAATTAATCAAGGTAAATTAAAAGTTAACAGTCTATGATGTAACTAAGTTGAGTTAAAATTATTTAACTTTTTAACGCAACTCTTATCTTTTTAACCAGACACCACCCAACCCTGGTCCCAAGTGTGTTGTCTCTTTTTAAAGTTTGTACACTTCTGCAGCCAAAACGCGCAGTCTATATATCATACGTCTATAGAGGCAGGTAGAATAGAGAGCGGGTGGGAACGGGGGGGTGGAAAAAAAAGTTGAGCTCGCTCGTGGCAAAATTGCACCCGACGAATCGCTCCGTCTACGCATGCGTATGCATGTGCGCCCGTGAATAGAGACGTGTGTATGGGGGATTAACGCTACTTTGTCTCTGGTTTTAAAGGGAGAGATAGAGGAGGGTTCGGGTAATTCGTAGACTATGCTATGTCATATATATACATATACCGCGTGTGTATGTATATATATCCAATAACGTATATCATTGTGTCCTTCATCATCATCATTATATTTACTGGTATAATTAATTACGCGCTTAGATATGAAACCTAATAGGAACATGATTGCACCGTGCCCGTTTCTTCCAAGCACGATGTTGGCGCCTCCGATTGCGGCTCCGCCGCCTTTCCCGTCTTGCCGTTGTTGTTTTTTCCTCCCTTTTTCGTTTCTCCTTCCGTCTCCGGGACTCGCGCGCGCGCGCGCGTTTCGCGCTGTACGCTCGTACGTATTTCCATATCCCCCGCGCGTATACCGCGGTACGACCGTGTGACACGCGGCGTGATCCCTTCTTCGCCGCCGTTACAAAATCCGGATCGTATACCGTTTACGCGTATGAATGGGCAACAATAAGTCTGTACACAGACGCGAGAGAATGTGCGTAGGTCTCGGAGCGGTGACCAGGCGAGAACGCGAGCTCGCTCCGCTAACTCTCGTCCCCCGCTCGATCATCGATCGCGTGAAATCGTTAACCCTCGCGGGTACCACTGTGCGACGCGACGAGCCCAAGCTGAACGAAAGTTCAATGAAACGAGTCCGCGTGGAACCTCCCGGCTGGCTAGAAGCAAAGGTGCGATATGCCGATATACGTGTGTTTTAACGTGTGTCGAAGGTACGGTGAGACGCGACGGAACGTATCTCTTAGTCGCGGTGAAATGTCCGCGGTCCACCCCTTCCTCGCGGTGAAGCGCACGGCGCGATTTCGTTTGTCTCGAGCTGAAAAGGCGCAGAATGTACCCTTTCGGTCACTTCTGCACGCGTTTTGCACGTCCGCGCGTCACTATCGCGTCGCCGTCGTTGAAACACTCTCGCGATCCGTCGCCAATCTGTTTGCGCCTCCGCGTTTTACAAAAAGGGCCCCGGCGAGAGGCGCAAAGAGAGGCGCTTAAATCCGTCGGTCCAGGGCGTCCAAAAGGTGGATATTCGTTCGTCGGCCACGCTCGGTTCGTCGATCGCGGACCGAGCCGATGCGCGGCGCCAACATCGTCGAGGTTGCCCGGGCCGGCGTTTCGGGTGCCTCCGCGCCGTCGGTGGGTGTGCGGACCCACGCGCGGTTGACGGTGCCCCGTAGTGAGTACATATAGATATACACATGGCAATCTCTCACAAGAATTAGTCGCTATCGTTATCAATTAGTATCCATTATTAATTAATAGTCAATCAAGTACCGCACGAACAAATTCGCAAGTCAATCGGCAATAATAATCATACTAATAATGATAATAGTGTAATAACGTAATAATAATGATAATAATAATAATCATGACAATAATAATCGCAATCGTGGTAATAATTGCAATAATAGTCACAATAGCAATCAATAGAGTTAATAATAAATAGACACGTTCAACATATTTCGTAGAAACTCAACGAGATTAGAAAAATGAAAAACTTGGACGCTCACCGTAGCCCTTTTCCGCCGTCGGACGGTTCTGCCAGCGCGATATGCCGACTGTTCGCTCGTCGAGCGCGGCACGCCGCGGTCATTGCTGGCCGAGAGTGCCATGAGAGAGTACGGCGGGGCTTGCAAATCGTTCCGGCCTCTCTCTTCCGCGTTGGGCGAAAAGAGTTCTCTGTAAAAATGCGCCCTCGACGGACCTCCGCGGATCCCGGGCGCGTTCGCGCCCGCGAGAAGAGAGAGGGAGAGAGAGAGACACAAAAAGGGATGATCAATCGTTGGCGACGCGAGGGTGGGCCGTGTGTCGGCGGAAAACGGCATCGGTGACGTCGGCTTATTAAACCCTTCCGCAACGCAGTAATATATATATGTATATAGCATTCGTTTCCTCATATCGTTCTCGTATCGTTAGCTCATCACTCCATTACATAATCCGCGCACGCTTATCACTCACTCATTGTTGATTTTTAGGAACAGCTAGCGAGGTTCGGTTACTCTATCACGCAATCTCCGTACTCGAAACTCAAAACGCCAAAACCGACGCGCCGGTTTTGCGTACACGCGCACGTACGTAGCCGCGTTTTGAGAGTCACGCTCGTATGCGATGTGTAGCTCCGAGTTCATACGCAAAATTCGATCTCAGTGTGTGTGTGTGTGTGTGTGTGTGTGTGCGGGTGAGTGTGGGTTTTCCGTGTTTGTTGTTTGTGTGTACGTGTGTACGTGTGCGCGCGTATGCATGTTTGTCAGGTCGTCTGTTGCCCTGTGTACGCGTGTTTAATTAGTGTGAATAAACGTTACGGTTCTTACAACGCGTCGCTCTCCTCTGTCTCTCGCGAGCAAATTCGAAAAAACTAAGATCGCGATGGATGCCGGCCGTAGCGCATCGTCTTGTGCGTTCAAGTGCATGTCTCACGCCCTTCTACGACTTTACTATACGTATTGTAGGAAACGCGGCGAAGGGAAATAAATTTCGCTTCTCTCTCACAGTCTTAGCGCCGCGGCCTTGAAGTCCCGGGCGCTTTTTTGGAACATCTTGCCTCGTGCTTAGTGGTAGTGATAGAGTTATCGTTTGCAATGATCCTGAAGACAGTACGGATTTGCGGTCGCCAAATGCGCGCGCGCACGCGCGCGATTCCGTGACGGTCGCCTTAATTAATTCTACGACTTGATCACACCTGTTAATTGTCTTATTTTGCGAGGTATCGGTTTACACGAAGAGAGATTCCGCTCTGGGGTTCTTTTTGTCCCGGTACGTCCTGTAAAGGTGGATCGTGCCGGTCGGAAAGACGATCGGCTGAGAATTTCGATATTAGCGATTCGATTAGGTGTCCCTCGGTAGTGGTATACGAGTGCGGGTACGTGTACATATGTGTATGTATGCGCCGTGTATGTGCACAAATGTCTCGTGTCTCACTTCTCGGACGTGTGTACGTGTGTTAAATGTACGCTAGTTCAACGCTGTAACGTTTATATAGATAATAATCAATACATGACCACATATATGTAAATATAATATCGTTAATCTATAATCATAATAATAATAATAATTCAAATGTAATATTAATAATCGTTGTTACCAACGTTACGTTAGAAAAGCATCTTTTGCAGACAGGAACCTCGAGAGTTGCTTAGTACCTTAGGAATAGTTATTACTTCGCGTTACGTTGCGTCTCGACGACCACGTGGCTTTTGACGTCCTCGAATCTCAGAGCCCCCTCGTCCCCAGAGGCGAACGCGCCCATTTTCGTCAGTGCAGTTTTCTCCGTCCGGCATCCCCCGCCCCCCCCCCTCACATCGCCCGTCCGTTTCACGCGACACCCTCGCCCCTTTTCTGCGGTATACCCTTTTCTTCGTTAACCTAATGATTCGCGTAAATTGAAGATTTTGCAGCACGTAAAACACGCCGCGGTATCTTTCCTCCCTTTTTGCTTATTTCTTTTTCTTCTTTTGCACTTCCGGTGGCACTTCCGGCATTCTGTAGCTTCGCATACGCGTCGCACTGTATGCGCGAACTTTCGTTTCTTCTAATGAGCTTCTAGAGCGAGGAACACGACGTACGTACGCGTGTAGACACGTCACCGTTCCGGATAGTATCCGCGAGGATTCTAGTACGTCACAACTTCATATATATATATTTATAAATGTATATATATATATATATATTTAGCTACTTAAATATATATTTTTCCCTTATTCATTCACTTCATTTTTCATTTATATATATATATATATATACTTCTCTTCTGTATATATATACCTATATGCGTGAAAGTGTGTGTGTGTGTGTTTGTTTGTGTGTCCATGTATCGTTTCTATCGACGCGCATGTACCCCGCCTCCTCCTCCTCCCCTCCCCTCACCCCTTTCCCCTTACATTCTATCGTTTAATCGTAATTTATCCGTAACTTATAGCTAGTAGTGAATTCTTTGTCATTCTCGATTTTATACCACTCCCCTCCCGTTGCTGTTGAAAACGGCGCGATTCTCTCCCTCCTCCCCCTTTTCCAACCTGTGATCCGGGGCGTTTGTATCTTTAAAATATTCTCGCCTAAGTGCGCGCGGGGGGTGATTTCCGAAATGAAATGTCCGTCCCTAACCGTCGTGTCTAAATTTAAAATTCACTTTGCTCTATTTAAAAATCCCGGATTGCACGGGGGCTGATTATTGCGGTGTCTCCCGGCGTTCGGTATTTTGTACTCGATTCCGCTCATGTATTTGGCCGATTATCTGCCCGTGATCGAAATAGCGTGCGTAGAGCCCGTATTTTTCGCTTGCTGCGCTGCACGCGCGTATACGACGCGAATTTGCTTGCCCGAGGTTTAACCGTTCGATTTTTCATTTGCTCGCGCGAGACTGTGGAAAAGAGGGAGAGAAAGGTCGGAGGGGATAGAAGTAAAAGATTCTATCCCTTCAATGGTACCGAGTCATAGTATCCCTCCTAGTATCCCCCGTCCCGAGCGTCGATGTGTGTCAATCGGTTGTTCGATCATCGAGCGTTGCTTAGCGATAATCGTTACAGCTACCGACAGCTCTCTAATCCCTATCGTTATTACTATCATTATTATTACTAGTTTCATTATTATTTTATTACTCTTATTATTATTAATATTATTATTATCATTAACGTTGTTACTAATCATTTGTTTAGCGTTAATAAATATAATTTATTAAATATAGGAACCATGTTTCTGGGTCTTACTTGCTCGTGCACGCGAATCGTGTCGATGACGGGCACACCGGGGGTTTATTATGCCGCCTTATACACACCGTCGTTTTCCCTTCCGTCTGCTATCTTATTACGCCTTTCCTTTCTTATCAAATTGCGGAAAATAAAGAACATGAAAAAAAACGTATGTGCCAAGCCCGTGTGTACGTGTGTGTACAGTGCGCGTCTGTCACGTGTCAATGTGTGTGTGTGTGTGTTTTACGTGTGTACGTATGTGAATATGTGTGAATGACAGAGAAAATGGCAGAGAAAGAGTATCGTTTGTGTGTGTGTGTGTGTGTGTGTGCGTATGTGTACGTGTGTGTACGTGTGTGTCAAAGTGCTTCTTGAATTTTCCTCCATTCTTTTGTCGCTTTTCCCGAAAAGCGTCCCTCTATTACCCTTTCCACGATCGCCGTCGAAACCGCTGAACGATTCGCGACACACATACATACACACGCACGCACGCACGCACGCATGCACGCACGCATGCACGCACGCATACACACCAGCACGCACGCAGGTCCACATACACGCAGGTCCATGGAAAACCACGTGCACACGCGCGTCAAAACGAGAAAGAGAGTGATAGAGACAGTCAGATATCTATATATATATATATATATTTATGTATATGTGTATATATATATAGATGTATGTATATATATATATATGAATATGTACGTACGTATTCGTAACGATGGCGGCGTTTTTAGTTTCGCGCGCCGCGCACCATCTACCCTACTACGCCGCGCCTAATAGCGTCCGCTTGTATCTTCCTGCTTCTTTTTTCTTTTTTCTTAGTAACTCTGCTTTAAATCTTTATTATTACTTTACATAGGAACGTTTAAGTTAACCCACCTCGACGCGCGTCGTTCCGCGTCGCACGACGCACTTTCCCTCCGGAACTTGCCGTACTATCCTCTCCTGGAAACGTACCGCGCACATCGTCCCGAGACGTGCACCCAAGATCGGCTCGATCCGATCGAGCCGCTGACTGATCGACCGACCGACCGACCGACCGACCGACCGACCGACCGACCGATCGACCGATCGACCGACCGACCGACCGACCGACCGATCGGTCGACCGGTTGTTGGATTGAACCAGCAAGGAGGATTTCTCGATCGCGCTCGTTCGATCGCTCTCCAGTCGATTCCACCAGGCTAGCTCGCCTTCGTCGAGTCTCTCTATCCTTTTACCATCTTTCCTTTTTTTTTATTATTAATCTTTTTCTTTTTTTTTCGTGCTACGAGAGGAACTTTGGAGAGCGCGCATCTTCACGGCGCGCGCTGCGCGGGATTCGCGTTACAAAAATAATAGGCGAATCGGGGGCGCGGGGCCAGGGGGCAGGGAAGCGGTGGAGGGTGGTTGTGCTGGCGGTGCATAAACGACGAAATTAAGAGAGAAAACCAATGACCGTCCGCCGTTCGTGCCTGAGTAATGTGCCTCCCTTTCCTGCCCCCTCTCCTACCGCCACGGGGCAAATGCCCCCGACGGGGTGCCCCACCGAAATGGACACCCGTGCCTGCCCGTTGATCGCCGGTTAGGAACATTGGCTCGTTCACTGCGACGTCCTCGAGTCCGACCTCCTCCAAGCGACGTCCATAGGTTTTCGTCTCTCCCTCTTCCGCCTATTTTCGCATTACGTCTTTCTCTTGCAGTCCCTTTCTATTGTTATTTGGTGCCATTTTCAACGCGCAACTTTCCCGTCTTTGAGAGAGATGGTAGACCAATCCCCCCGAGCTCGTCGGTGTCGTTTAACGTGCACCTGCGAGGGCGGTGACTTCTTGCACCAGCTTCTGCCGTTTGGGATCGGGTCCATTGTTGTTGTCCTGACTACCTGCCCTATCACTGACCTGTGACTGACCAGTCGTGCTCTCGGCGGCCGCGCGAGCGGCCAATAGGGTGATCTGATTGACGACGTCCTCCATCTCGTCGGTAAGCGGATTCGTTTCCTCGCCGGATTGTGCGCCACCGTCATATTGTTGCTGCTGCTGCTGTTGCTGCTGCTGCTGCTGTTGCTGACGCTCTTGGGCAGCCTCGAGACGCGCTCGGTGCTGCAGCGTCTCGGCATGACGACGCCACTCGTTCACGGTGGCGTAGGTGCGCGTCGATACGCCAGGCTCGCACAACGAGCAGGCGTAACGCGCCTGCACGAGGCGCAGAGCACCGCGACGCTGCTGATTGCCCAGGTAGCAGGACCGCTGGTGCGCCAGCAGCAACGACTCCTGCGGATACGCGCGGCCGCAACGACGACAGACGAGGCACAGTTCGGTCTCCACCTCGCGACAGTGTTGGGGCGGCCCGTTCTCGTCGGCGCCGCACGGCGGAGCCGGCAAACGGACCGTCTCCAGCCCCGGATGATTCGGATCTTGCTGCAGGAACGCTTGCATCAGGGCCCGCGGCACCTGCACCTGTGCACCACCCTCCACGTTCAGCGGCATCATAATGCTCCCGAGTAGACCGCCGCTCAAGCCCGCAGCCGCTACTGGAAGCAAATCGTAATCGGTTCTCGTTAGAATAGAGATTGGTCCTAAACAGATCGTCCTAACGCGGGGCCGTTTGCCTCCGATCGCCGCATCAGTTCAGTTTCGGGCGCGTTCGCGTCCGTCTTATCTTGAAACTGAGCTCATGCCGCCTTCGAGGTAATCGGCTCGTCTCGCGCGCATCTTTACAAGTTTCATATCATTGCATCAATCGTAACCTTTTACAACCCCCGTGGCGCAAAAGCAAATTTGCGGGGTGGGGGGGGGGACAGAATACCAGTACTCTAGAACGAATATGTATGCGAAACACTTACAATTTATTTGCGGGATTGCTATATAAACGTCGGGATTCGCGTTCGATGGCAAAACGTAAAGAGGATGCGGGATAAAAGTTACCTGAGCTCTGCAAGGGATAGACAGCGAGGCTAGATGGCACATTCGTGCGTAATTGATTTGTGCCAACTTAGTTGTCATAATAGCATCCCCGCCGTAAACGGGGGAGAATTTATGCGGAACCTGTTTTCGCCCGAGCGAGACAGGTAAATTGGTAGTTATTAGCGGGCCCGCGGGCCGATGCGCATTGACGGGATAATTCCTGCGGCCGTCTCGAGGGGGCCCGAGGGATAGTCCAGTCCGATAGTCCGTGAGGCCCATGTAGCGAGAGGCTCTCCCAGATATGCCCCGGCAGGATGATTAATTCTAATTTCAGGATCACGCGCCGCGGAGTGTTGCCCTCTTTCCCTCTCCCTCTTCTTCATTTCTTCCCCCCCTTTCTTTTTTCATTATTCGGAAACGTTGGTCGTGCGAGCGGAGGGAAAAGCGTTAAAAAGTACGACGACGAACCAGCCCGACCGACGTGTAATCGGACGTGTGATGCAACGCGCGCGCGCGCGATCGCGAGGACCGAGGGAAGGACGCGGCGCGTCGACGTCGATTAGGCGGGTTGACAGGTTTACGCAGTGACGCGCGCGGCTATATCGCGCGTATCGTGTATCAGATGAGGAGTCGTTACGAGGCAGGAAGTGTTAATGATACCCCTGCTCATTCGTTCGACGCTCGGTTGTAATTATCAGAGTTGGTGGGAGAAGGACGAGGGAGGCGAGTGGTGCAACGGGGGAGGGGGGAGGGGGACGAGAGCTCTCTCCCTCCCTCTCTCTTTCTCTCTTCCGTTCCTCTAGTTCGTCTCTCAACGTCGGCGCGTGGAATTGATAGTTATTAGATGGCGAGACCGGAGTACCAGGACCCCGTCCGCGCCCGGTTCCGCTCTCTCTTTGTCGTCTAATGAGAATCCCTGGCGCACGCACGGCAGTCCACTGTTTGACTAACACTTCTCTCTCTATTTCCTCGCCTCTCCCGGTCACCTCGCTCCTTCGCTCCCGCGTATCTCGCGCTCACGTGGATTATGGTTCGCCTCGATCGGGCGAGCAAATAATCCGCGTTTTTATGTTCCGCCATCGAAAGAGCCCTTCTCGGAAAGAGGAGGCACGGCCGTGCGCAGTAAAGAAGGGAGAAAAGTGTTACGGATAAATAGGGGATTAGCGCAACAACATTGGACACGGTGTATAGTTCTGGTCGCTCGTCTGCTCCCTTTACGGCCCCGCAGCGTTCGCGGGAATGTAGCAAATTCATTTACCGCCGGCCCACGGACTCGCTTGTCCGCGGTATCGGAGGCTGCTCGCTCTTCTTGTTTGATATAATCGGCTGAATAATGATCGTCGGGCGCTCACGTCGCAAATAACGCGTACGCGGCGAACGATGGGGCATTATTGTGGAATCAGAATATCGTAAACACTCGAGGCGCAAAAATCGCGAGCCACTGGCTCAAGTTCAACTTGATCCACGCGAACGTTCGTGAAATCATTTCTCGCTTATGCCGCTCGCGGGGCGGGGCGGGGGGGCATTTTTCTTCTATAAAATTAAAACGTTCAAGATGACGGCGACTGTGTCTTCGCCATTTATCGCTGACACGCTGGCGAGTATCGGTGTGTACGAGTACGTAAAAAAAAAAAGGAAAGAAAAACGTTCCGTCTTATCGCTCAAAAGTTATCGAACTGATAAATATGGTGCCTTTGCGCGGCGGCCACGGCGCACTTTGGAATTCTAAAAATACCCTCGATAAATCATCTCTCCCGCGATCGAGTTCTCCAGGGTCGATGAACAATGACGTTTTTTGTCACCTCGCTGAATCTCGCGCGGCATAACTCAGCCGGAGGAAACGGGAGTTGCTAAACGACGCGATTCCTTGAGCCGATAGACTTCCTCCTCCGCCGTCGGCCCTCCGCTACGCGCGGGTCGGCCAGCGCCAAGGTATATAATATAATAAGGAAGATTGTTAAATATATATAACGCGCACAACGGCGCAGCTGGGTGATCTCCGTGTGACACCCTTGAAACAATCGAAACGATCGAGGAGAGGGATTATTACTCTTAATGAGCACTGGTTATTTCTTTGAGTGGCTCTGATTCGTCCTCCCTTTTCCGTCCTCCGTCACCTTCTCCTCCTCGGCGGTCACGGAGCCTTTGCCGCGCGCGCGTATGTGTGTGCGCGTACACGCGTGCGAATACGCGGAGAAGGAACGCACACGCGCGTGTCTCTCTGCACGCGCATCACTTTCGTCTCCGTCCTCTCGGAGGGGCTCATTTGCGTACGGATTGAGATAGTAGTGCCTTGGTACTGTCGCGATGTGTGTTTTTGTTTAAATGTGTGACCGGCGTGTACGCGCGCGCGCCCGCGCGAGATTCTGATTGCCGGCCGCTCCCAAGTCCCCAGTGGTCGTCATTGCGACTAACTCTCATTATTTAATTTCATGCCACTATGCTTTAATCCTTAGCGCTGGGAATTATTCTGACCGTGATACTAATAGAGCGCATTTATATGGTGCTCGATACGCGCAGACAGCTCCTACTTGAAACGGGCCTTGTAATGAGCTCGAAATGTCCTTTTCTTTTCCATTTATCAAGCGATTAATAATATATTTCCGCGTGTGTTCGTCGCAGTCGCAGCCTCTATTTAGGAGAGTTTCCATAAAATGAACGTACATTCCTTCTTTTAGGTACAAGTATCGAATATATTCGTTTGCGTTGAAATGTACGTCGCGCCGTACGTAGGTTTAATTTACTTAAAATAATACGAAATCAATTGCTTATGAAACGCGCCGTAAAACAATGTGCTCATAAAGTTGTATTTCTTAAACCACGTAATCGATAGTATGGCAAAGTTATTTTCTGGGACAATCGCTCTCACCAGGCCCTTAAACGTATTCTTCCTAACTCGGTTGCCTTCGTTTAATTGTTGCAGACTCGAGAGAGAAGCCTCGTCGCCGTCCACGGCATTCCTGCGTGAGAACCGCTGGCCTCAAGATTGCTGCGACATATGCTGGAAATTTGTTCGGCGGGAATTTACGAGCGAGTTTCCGTGTCAGAGCCAATACCTGGGCTCTCTGCGGTAAGTAGGTATAAGTCTGTATATCCTGGCAGCCATAAACTCGCATTCGAGGACCGTCCAGAACGGAATAATCGGGAATGTCGTTAGTTAGCGCGTTCAGGAATTTTAACGGCCGTTTGGGAGGCGCGCGCGCGCGGAAAAACGCAATCCGTCATGCGCGTCACTGTCACCGCTCGAAGTGGCATGCCGTCGAACGACCGGCCACTTCGCGGATCGCCGACTGTGTGGAGAGTGTGGAATTGTGAATCGTGTTGCGCGCAAATCAGTCGAATCTCCGGAGAAAGATTTTTAACGTCAACACCGTGAGATTATGAAAAAAAAAATAACGGCCGTACAAAAGCCATTGTTACGTGGATGTAGATGGGGATGAGAAGATGAGAAATAATCTCGCATTCGATTTCCGATTGTCTGAACAGTCAGGCGTATCTAGCTTCTTAAGCCTTTAAAACAGTTGAAAGTAATTTCAGTTTAGTCTCTCTCTTTCTCTCTCGTCCAACTTTAGCTACGCGAGCAATGAGCGGTAAATATATTGATATCGCCAAGAATGCGTTCCTTTATCATTAGCCTCTTCGCGCTAAGAGGACGTGACGCAACGGAAAAGGAGAGTGCGGGAAAGAGATCGAGATTGAGTTTCGGAATGCGTCTCGGGGTCCGGTATGGTATCGCGGCGGCGAAACACGCGATATTTCACATCGCTCGAGGTGATAAACGCGATCGGTTTTCCCATAGACGGGGAATATGCAAATCCCGAACGTTCGCCACTTTGCGCCTGGATCTCGCGTTCGCCACGTTTAATCGCCGATTAAACGGTGATCCAGATTAACGTGGAATCTTGAACGCGCGCGCGCGCCCGCCCGCTCAATCCGTCAGAGCGCGTCGCGGGTGAAATCACGACCTGGCCGAGAATGATCTCCGCGCCGGAGGGGAGTGAGTGCCGCAGGGAGGATCAGCGCGGAGTCCATAACTGCCCGTTACGCGAAGTATGCACAACGGTGCATTCCACGTGCGCACGCTAGCGCGTTCTCACATGGTGACCACCGCACACGTACGTAGGAAAACACGTCGTGAACGTGGGCGTGCATTCCTGCCTTCGCATTATCTCCTCCTCGCTCGTTCTCTCTCTCTCTCTCTTCCTCCTTTTCTCCCTGCTCCTCCTCCTCCTCCCCGCCTCTCCCGCGCTTTCTTCGCGTGTCTCTCTTTCCCGTTCACGGTTCTCGGCTCTCCCTCTCCCTCTCGCGCCCGACGGCCGACCACATGCGAGAAGGAATCCTCTTCTCCTTTTTTATTCCTCATCCAGACCCGTTATCGTGGATACCATGGCCCGGAACGACTGTTTCACACCTCCGCTCGCGCGGGAATTAGGAAATAAATTAGCGGTCGGGCTAATTTCGTTATCTCTCCCGATGGCCGCCTCACCCCACGCTTAAGACGTCAAGGCCCGATGTCGGGGGCCCCGAGAGACCCAATGTGGGACCCGAGGACACGATCGAAATCGTGTCCCGGCACACCGCAGGATCAATGGCTCTGCGCGCGCGGAGCGCGGCGAGTGAGGCTTCG